TCTAAGGGGCGGAGATGATTGGTAAGGTCTTCCTGTTCTGCGTGTTGGTTCGGTATTGCTTTTGAGGCGGTAAGGATCGTAAAGGATTTCTCTAGCGCCTTCATCCATGTCCGAGTCCTCATCAAAATCCTTTCCCTCGGGGTTCCTCTCTTGGTATTCTTTAGGACCTAATTCTGGGTTCTCCCTTTGCACTTCCTCTGGTTCTCCCTCGGTCCATTCGTTGGCTATCATCATAGGGTAGTAGGGGTCTTCGGGGTGAAGCTCAGTCATGTTGCCTTCACGAGAGTGGATGTATGAGATACATGTAGAAGATTTAAGTATGGAGGTCATATGGTATTCTAAAATGCTACTATAGTATTACATGTTTGATCCTAGGACTTCCTGATGTACGAAATCGATACGTTTTTAGACTTTTTGTTATTGTTTAGTATCATAAAATACTCCTATAGTACTTTAAACCTTATGTTTGGCTCTAATGCTCCTTTGCATGTAGGGTTTGTAAGTTTTAGACTTATTGCAACACCACCATCATTCCCAAATACATGTTGGTCATATCTCGAATAAATACAGTTGATCAGGCTCTATTTTATTCCAGATATGATTACATAACTGCCCAGGTTTGACTGTAGTGTTCAACATCTAAATACTTTTGTTTTGTTCTTATTATGATATGGTTCCATCAAGTATGTATACTTTTAGAAGATACTTATATTTTTAAGGTATACTTTTAGTCAGATTGTTTTTAGTCCCATTGTATTTATAGTTATATATCTTGTATGGTTAGATATACTAGTTCACTATAATCAATGCTCTGAAACCAACCTATCACACCCCCGAACCTGGACGGCGGAAACGTCCGGGGGCGGACGACTTCGTGTATAGTATCATCACAATTGAATATGAATGAAACATAGCAACCAAGCATCATACATTGAAGATACACACTTACATAGTTTACATATTGAATTTGTTCATCAGTTACACAAAAGTAAGAAAGTAAAATTTCTTGAAGTCGCACCACTTGATCTTATAGTCGAACGTATTACCTGCTACTGGAATTCCTGAGAATACAAGTCGTTTTGAAAAGCGTAAACTAAAAAGTTGGTGAGTTCATAAGCAGTTTTGAATAAAAATGGTTTTTGTACTTGTTTAGAATCGTTTTCAAAGTGTTTTCAAAAATCCGATAATTTCTAAAAAGAAATTGTTTGAAATATTTATGTCCGATCTTATATTGATGCATGTGTGTTAATGGTTACAAATAGAAAGAGAATGATTTCCAGACAACCCAATGTTGTCTGCGATAGATGATGCTGGAATCTCAACCCCCGTGGTTGATTACCAGTGCATATAGATTACCGTTTTATCAAGAAGAAAGATTCCCATTTTATCCAAAAATAAAATAGAATGGTTTCCCGTAAATCCAAAAAGAACATAGGATGGTTTCCCGTAAATCTTATAACGTTAATTCCTCTAAGTGAGTCGTTATAACCATACTAAATAATGACAATTTCGCCTGTCTTTGCGTCTTTGGGACACCGACGGAATAGGATTAGGTTTTTGTCACCCTAGACTGGCCTAGTCTAACTGTAGCGAACTGCTGAGGTGTGGGGTGTCACCACAATATAGATCTATACACAAACTCCCACTTTCCCTCCAGGAAACTCTGGTTATAACTACATGCTACGATTGTACACTAAAAGGTGCCAACCGACAAGTCTCACTAGATCCTTAATCGAACATTTACACGGAAAAGAAAGAAGAATACATATAAAACTCATTCGTAGGCCCAATAAACATGTAAGTGGACCACTAAGGCCCACTATACATGTCTATCATTTCCAGGCTCAAAAGGAATATGAATGTCTATCCTGAGCCCAATATACATGTAAAAGGACACTAAGACCCGCTAAACGTGTATATTATTTGCAGGCCCAATAAGGATATGGATGTCCATCATGAGCCCAATATACATGTAAAAGGACACTAAGGCCCACTAAACATATATATTATTTCCAGGCCCAATAAGGATAAGAATATCGTTTTTAACCCGTTTATTATTGTTTTGTTTATTTTAGCTCTATTACTTACAAAATTGATATAAAAGTCCACTTTCTGTAAAAATGACGTTATTGGCCCAATAAACCACAAAATTTTCAATTAAGGCCCAATTATAGTAAAAATAACACTTTAGTCCTCATTTTTTTTTTTCAAAACTTGTGTTTTTGAGTTTGTGGTAAAAATAACATTTTAAACCCATTTTTATCAAAAATGTCATTTTTGACTTGATTTTTGTGAAATACACATTTTTCTGGTTTTTGGCTTTTCTGACCTAGTTGTTGGAAAATTTGTAGAAAAATCATCGTAAGTCGAAATTTTGATCCGTAAATTCTGAATGTTTGGAAATTTTGTCTACTTTGTTCATAATTTTTATTGGCCTCTAACAAGTGTGAAATTGCTCACCTTCACAGGTTGGTCCGAAATTATTTCAAATCTGATAGGCAGTTTTGTAAAATTCGCCAAAAATAGTAGAAAATCGTATGAAAATGTGAAAGTATTCATTTTAAAGGTAATAACCTGAAATATTAGCAAGTAAAAAAGTTTAGAAAAATATTACCATTAAGGAGGTCAAAACAGTTCGAGATTAGACTAAAACTTTTCTATCAAAGGCTAATTTTTGAGTTTAACTTATCTAAGTTTGTTCACAACACTTATTTTTGCTATTTTAAGTGGATAAATCCCAGATCTAGTAGTTTACATGTATTATATGTGATGACACATACTTTTCTCAAGGTTTTTATGAAGATCCAAGTGATAAACTTCATTTTCAAGTAAAGATCTAAAAGTTAAACACATAAACATGCATATATACATAGATCTAACACAAAAACACTTGTATTCTCCCCCCAAAAACATTATAAAACCGAAAACAAGGTGGGTATGAACTCACTTTGGGGGTTTTTGAGTGAAGATGAAGAAGAAGAAGGATATTTGAACCTAGCTTGAGTTCTTGGTGAGATTTGTGTTGTTTTGGTGTTCAAGTTATGAAGGCTTGAAGAGAACTTCTTGAAACACTATTAACTCGTGATTTTTGAAGAAGGAAGGGAGAGAGTTTCTTGACTTTTTGAGAGAGAATAAACTAAGAGTTTGATTTTGGAAATGAAAAGTGAAGAGGTAATGGTGGTGGTTTGGCCGAATTTAGGGAGGAGAGGGAGAAAAGTTAGTGTATAATGCATGTTGGTTAATTCAAGTGTGCCTAGATGTATGGTGTGTAAATACATTGATATATGATGTATAATATGGAGGTGTCATTAGCATTAACCACAATTCTTTTCCTTTTTTTTATAACTCAAACCTTAATCGGCCCAAGAGGGGTCTCGGCCCAAGGTTGGCCCAAATAGAAGATCCAATGACAAATTTTGGCCCATTAATGCTAAAATAAGGTTTTTCAGCCCTTAAAGCCCAAAAGAGGGGTTATTGGCCCATTTGGGCCCAACAATAGATTATTTGTCCAATAAAGGTTTTGGGTTAGAGGATTTTTGGGCTAAGGCCCAAAGATGATTGGAGTTGGCTTATTGGATCGAGTTTTTTTTTTTTAGGCTTATACAAGGAGATTATATTGTTTAAGAATTCACATCTTAACCTAATTTTCCCAGTTATGACACGGGGCCTGATGTATGTATGATATGTTGTATTTTGGAGAATTCTCTAAGCTTTGTGCTTACAATTTACGTTTAAAATGTTTTCAAGTACTTTTGGTTTCAAAAGGAAAGGTCCGGCTTGATCGCACTGCACCTCCTGGAGATTTATTTCACAGTGAATGTTTACAAATTACTCTGATGTTTTGAGAATACTTTTATTCTAATCGTCTCTGTGATAATATATAAATGGTTTTGATTTATTTAAAAATGAATTTTTTACTCGGTATATTTGGGACATTACACGAACAATCCAAACAAATCAAACCAAACCAAATAATAAATGACAAACCGAATATGGATTTGATACCATATAAACTAATGAACAAAATACTGCTCGGGTTTCACTATTGAAAAATAATTAGTAACATTACAATGAAAGGAAAAGACACTATAAATAGAAAAACCAATTATGTTAAACCAAGCTAAAAGGCTAATGAGAGCCAAATAAATCCAAAACGAGTCAAGCTACTCATGAACTATTCGGGATCGACTCGTTAAAACCTCGACTCGAAATCAATTTTAAAGGAGCTCGAGTCGAGCTTAAACTTAATATTAAGCTCGTTTATTAAACGAGCTCGAGTTTGAGTCTATACCACTAAGCTTGATTAGACTCGCAAGCCTAAACGAGTCTATATATAATATAATTTGTTATTATTTTATATATTAAAATAAAAACTATTTAAGAAATTAGTGATTTAGAGTATTAATAAACAAGCTCGAACCAAGCTTATGGTTATTTGGGCACGTTAGACAAAAAATGAGCCGAACTCGTATAATTCTTTATGAGCTTGAGTCGAGCTCCGTATAAAAAAACTCGAATCAAACTAAGCTCGAACTTGAGCCTTGTATAACTTAAACGAGTTTAAACGAGCTTGGACTCAGCTCAACTCAACTCGTTGCAACCTCATACCTAAACCAAGAAAATGGTCTAATAAATTTATTTGGCTAACGAGACTAAACGAAATGAAATGACATTCAATATTGATAGCATACATCTCCTCTTATCTAGGCATATCTCAATGACATTTGTTGAGGCATAGCTTACTGGCATGAATTGAACATCTCTTTTCTCTTTCACTCTTTTTCTTTCAAAATACAAAAAACGATGATAAGAATGAAACATTTTAAAACCAACCTCACTAGAAATCGTAGTATCTTTTAGAATCGTTTCAAGAATTAGTTTAAAACAGCAGGTACAACAATATGGTCTCGACAAAAAAACAGATAATGTAAAATTGCCACGTGTACATTCGACACGTATAATACTGACACGTGAGAAAGGCATGTACATGTGTGCAGAAACCTATCTTGTTAGTCAAACTATAAAACCTCTGCAAAAACCTATCCCTCTCTATTCTCTATATCAAATATTGCAATGCGCCACCGTTAATGGCCATTCTCAGATCACTCAGGGAACTTGCTCGGAAGACCTCCAAGACCAACACCAGAACCTTCTTCATCTCCACTCCAAATCCGACGTCCTTACGATCCATAAGGTCATCAATCTTACTCTCTCGCTCATCAAACATTATCTCTCCTTCAATCTCTATCTCTAAGTGGGACTACCCATTCCATGGCCCGCTTTTCCTCTCCTATCCTCCATGGAAGCTTCTGCAATTCGCGACACCTCTATACCTCCAATCTGACGTCGCTGCGATCCCTAAAGTACGGGCTATTGACTTGCTTCGAGAACGGACGTTTCCGATCAAATTAGGGTTAAGATCGGTTAAATACGACGATAATTTGGGTGATGGGAAGGACTCGAGGATCGTTGGAAGTAGTGTCCGTGATGGATTAGTCGAGAGTTTCGTTAATTGGCCTAATTTCATTTCTATGAGTAGATTGGTATCTGGTCCGGTGCTTGGATGGTATAGACTTCATATCCTTTCCTAATTCTCTGTTTTTGCATCTATTTTACTCTTAAACATGGAAATGGAGATTTAATGTAGTACTTGCTGCACATTTTCCCTTTCATGACTGCTCTCTCTTTGACAGTATGTTTAAATCGATGCCTACTTCTGAAAATTGATAGCTTTCTCCCCTTGAAATAGGAAGATTATTGTTCAAGTTGAACTTTAGATGGGATTATTTATACGTTAAACTGATTTTCTGTTTGTGAAGTGGATGCTAATGATGGAATGGACAGATTATTACTCCCTAAATACATAAACATGTAAGGAGATGCTTTTAATTATGGTTGGTTTAGTTGTTTCTTACACTAGATGTGTGATTAGAACTTTAGATATGTATTTTGCACTATGTAATTGACCTTTATACACAAACCAATCACAGTGATATGAAGAATATGCAAAAATTGAAAATTATGTAGATAGAATAGCAACACATTTTTTCTTATTTCCTTTTAAGTTGTTATTTTTGAGGTTCACTCAAGTGTTGAAGATTACCAACAATGGATCATGAATCATTGCATTTTTCCTTTTGGCAAACTGTAAACTAAACAGTAAACAATGGGTATCTTGTTGCCTGTTAGCCTTTAGGGTTTACCCCACAATAGTCTAGATCACCATTTAGACATGTAATCTTCTCCTTTTGATTTTATTTTTCCAACTAGGTAATCTAAGAGTATCATGTGTATATGTACTCCTTGAAGGGTATAAAAGGTTATTATATAAGATTCATGGGCCATACTTACAAAATGACAATTTGAATGCAGGATGATCATGCATGATATGTATCTTCCTGCATTTCTTGGGCTTGTTGTCTCTGGGGCAACAGACTGGGTAAGATTTTAAGCTAGTGTTTCGTATGATGGAATCAAGGAAGCAATGGAATGGAAAAGTAATTGATTGTTTTATTTTATCTGATGGAATGGAATGACAACTTGGACTTTTTTTTATAGATAAAAAAACTGTTAGTTTTAATCAAGTGATATATACAGTAGAGCAAGAAGCCTAGAAGTATTCATTGTATAGTTATTTACATATACATATTAAAAATTCATTCCATTCCTACAGACTAACCAAACATGATAACATGGAATGTAATTAGTGATTCCATTCCTTTCATCCTTTGCATGTGTGGTGAAAGTTGTTTGTTGTTGCAGTTAGATGGATATGTGGCCAGAAAAATGGGGATTAATTCCGTGGTTGGTTCATACCTTGATCCTCTTGCTGACAAAGTAACTTCTTTTCTTTCTTTCATTTAAAACAACAATTGATTTTAATATATATATTTTGTTGAGGTAAATTATACATAAAATCTCATGGAAAGTTGTTAATAATTAACACACAGGTTTTAATTGGTTGTGTTGCCTTAGCCATGGTAGAAAGGGGTCTTTTGCACTGTAAGTATCTGTATGATTCCTTTTTACTCTCCATATAAACATAAACTTGTAATTTTACTCAAATACAATTTTAATATTTTAATAATTTTACAGCAGGACTGGTGGCACTTGTAGTGATGAGGGATGTTGCTCTAGTTGGTGGTGCAGTGTATATAAGAGCTACCAACTTGGGTTCAGAGGTATGTTTTGTTCTTCAAATGAATTTAGCAATCTTTTTTTTTTGTATATATTGTAATGTGTATATTTTTGGTATATAGTCAAGGAGTTGGGTAGAGTTTTTTAACCTTGATGGGATTCGACCACAGAAAGTTGAGCCTTTAATGATCAGTAAGGTAAATATTCCATTCCATTTTTTTTTTCTCTTTTTCGTTAAATGTTGTCTCGATAAATGATGTTAATGTGAAAAAGCCTATTATTTTCCTGACTTTATGTATTAAGTCTTTATTTCTACCTTAAGTTAAAAAAAAAAAAAAGTTATATGTAGCTTATGAGATTTGTTTTTGGTTTATAGGTTAATACATGCTTCCAACTAGCCTTAGTTACAGGTGCTCTTTTGCAACCAGAGTTTGGAACTCCTCAAACTGAATTATACATCACATACTTAAGGTAGGTAACTACTTTTGGTTTTCTATAATCACTAAATTGCATACTCTTTTCGTCCCTATTTTACTGAATCTTAACTTGTTTTTTTTTTTTTTTTTTTTTTCCCTTTCTTCTAATTGACGTAAACACCTTTTATGGACTATAACAAAAATACAAGGACCAAAACTGTAATTTACACTAAATCTATTTTGGTTTTGGTTTGACGCAGTTGGTTAGTGGCTTCAACAACAGTGACTTCCACTGCGGCTTATGGTACACAATATCTTAAGAGAAAATTGGTTTAAATTTCAAAACACTGTCTAATCTGAATCCATAATGTTCAAAAAAAAAAAAAAAAAAAGAAGGAGCGAGGCCAAGTTGTAAAATCTTACATTTTCATTTTCATAGAGAGATTTACTTTTTTTTTTTTTTTAAATTATTGCGTTAAACTTGGGGGTATGGGGAGGGGGAAGCTATGTTTTGTTTTTCCTTTCCTGGTATATAATGTTAAAAAATATCTGCCAAAACGACATCATATAAGAAATTGGAGAGGGAAAAAAATTACAAGCTAAAGTAAAAAAAAAAACTTTTGAGATAAAAGAACGCTCTTAGGATAGTTTTGTTTTGACTTTGTCAAATTTATTTGACCCAATAAGCTCTCTAATAAGCTCATTTTGTGGATGATCCAAAGTCTACTATTGTAGATACTCTAATTTAGTAATTTATATCAAACTAGGTATATGTATGCATATTGCACTGCATTGGAATAGGAATAGAATTATGTGGCTAAACTAAGGAAAATCAGAGTCAAAAACGGCTTCAATCTGGTATTGGAGTGATGTTAAGAACTTGTAACTCATCAAGTAATCTAGTATTCAGCTTCTATGGATACCAAAGAGACAGTTGTCTGCGTTTTTTGATTGCCATGAGATTGGGGTACCTCCAAAGAGTATAAAAAAGCCACTTACAGGCAGCTTCTGTGGACAAGCAGCCCAATCGGAGTCACAAAAGGCTTCAATCTGGAAGGACTCGTTTTTGTTGAAAAATAATCATTTTGTGGGAGTACTTCTGAGATATTGTTATACATGAATTGAATGGCAGCTTCATAATGCTCTTGACAAGGATTCTGATTGAATTGACTTAAATGTTGAATAGCATAAGACAAATCAGGACGTGTGTAATAAAAAATTTAATTTGCCAATCAGTTGTCTGTAAGATGCTGGATCATTTAAAGGATTTTACCTAAGGTGCATCAACCGAGAGTTTGAAGGTAATGGTGTTTTTATAGACCTTTTGGAGTCTGTTGAATAAAGACTCGATAGTTCATTCATGAATTTTTGTTGATGTATAATCATCTTATCTACAGTGAAATTCTAATCCAAGAAAGAAATTAAGAAATCCCAAGTCTTTGATTTGAAACGGGTTATGAAGAAAAGCTTTTAACCTATTGATAAATCATTTCCTGTAACCAATATGTCATCCATGTAAACAACAACAATACTCAAGGATGCATTAGTCCTCTTGAGAAATACAAAATGATCATTTTGAGAAAGAGAATATCCTTTAGACCTTAATGCAGTAGAGAGCTTTGAGTACCATTGCCTTGAAGCTTGTTTTAAACCGTATAAAAACTTCTTGAGTTTGCATACTAATGATTGTGATGAAATTTCAAATCTAGGAGGAGGTTTCATGTATACTTCTTTGTGCAAATCCCCATGTAAGAACGCATTATTAACATCAATTTGATGTCTTAGCCAATTCCTTTTAACTGCAAGATCAACAATGCAACGGATTGTATTGAATTTCACAACAGGAGAAAAAGTTTCGTGAAAGTCTATCCTTTCTTTTTGTGTAAAGCCCTTTGCCACCAAACGTGTTTAGTGCCTTTCAAGAGTTCCATCATATTTATATTTAGCTTTATATACCCACCTACATGATATTGGTTTATTGACTTTGGGTGATTTTACCACATCCCGTGTTTGATTTTCTTCCAAGGCTTTTAAATCATTAGCCATAGTTTGTTCCCACTCAGGATGTCATTGAATGCATAGCTGGTAGGAACAGTAGCCATGTTTTGATCATAAGAATCATGAATACAATAATTGGTGATAGCATGATGGCAAGAATGAGAATAAGATTCTGAAAATGTATTATTACATACATAATCTCTTAAATGAGAAGGTTGTTGAATGGTACGAGACGCCCGTCTTAAAGGTACATTGTTGACCTCAGTTTGGTTATCAATGGGACTTGTGATATGTGCTGTTGGAGTAGAGAATTGAATAGGGGTATCTTTGGAATTTGTGGGTAAAATGAAGTTGGTGAAGAATCAAATGAATGTTGGATGATGGAATGCAAAGGGAATATATCCTCAAAGAATTCAACATCTCTTGAGAGATGTATCGTTGCATTTGTTAG